GATGGTGAAATCCTCTACGTTAGGGGTGAATGTTTTGTATAATATCTTAAGAATATATAGGTAAAAAAATTGTTCAAACAATAATTATTTATTCTTTCCCTCTACGCATTCTTAGTTGAGTATCTTCCATTGTTCACTATGTAATACACATTCTTTATTCGATCAATTTTGTTAGATGCATCTGTAAGTTAATTCAGATATCAAATCTCAAAGTCGCCATGATTCAACCCCATCATTCAACCTCAAAGAATCAACAACCATTGCTCAATTAACACCCATTACTCCATTACAACCACCCTCAAAGCAAAAGAAGACACTAAAGTAATCAATATCATTGGTCTCAAAGAAGATTATAATTTCACCCAGTCTAAGCGGTCAGTCAGACATCATCGTCAATAGAGTTTCCGGAAGCGGCGGTACCAGGATTAATATTTCACCGTGTTCTCCGGTTACTCTCTCGAAAATTGGATGGAAATTTTTCTCGGCTGGAGAACCTCCTCTCCCCGTATCGCCGATAATAACGTTCTTCCTCGACAACCGGAGCTGGCCGTATGTGATAGCGGTTTTCCTTTCCTTCTTCTGCGGAACAACGCCCGTCATGAATTTTCGATCCCGCCCGTAAATGCTTCCTGGCCGGGTTTACGGTCGCGGCGATCCACGACCGCCATGCCGTGCCGGCCTATGTGGAGCAGAAAATAATTATTGTCGCAACGGAGGCGCGTTAGCGAACATTCACGGCGTATCGGTCGCGGTTCGTTCTAGTTTTTCATCGATCGTTACGGAGCGTTGGCTTGTCGCGACGCTGACACCGTCAACGGCGTCAACCTCAAGGGTCGATTAAGCAATTATCCCCGGCGTGATTGCCGCAACACGCCAGATTATCCGCTTCCTGGTCATATTCGTCGCCGATTATCCGTAATTTCCGTCGGATATTAATTAATACCCGCGGTCTGGCTGCGCCGGCCTCACAGTGACGTCTTTCGTTCAGATCAATCGGCCGGGCAAGATCGATTCCCAGTGACCGTGCGAGAAAGGTGTGAAGAATTAAACCGGTAATGTTCACTCGCATAACCTCGCGTGCTTTAACACTAAAACTACCCAGCGAATTAAAATTAACGATTAAAATTAAATTAACTGTTTGACATTTTTTCTGTAGAAACTTCAAGAGGGCTTTTGTGGAGTCTTCAACTGATTTAACCGTTTGCATTTGATTGATTTTCAATGTTGTTGGGTGTAAACTTGTATTTATTTTTAGAGCATTGAATGAAAGTAATTTACAGTGATGTAATTCAACGTTTTATACTTATTTTATTTATTATTATTATAATGAGATTTAATTTTTATGATCTTTTGTGGCAATTTTTTAAACAATTCCCAACGTTCTAGAACAAATTTATATTGTCATTTCCAGCATGACACACGAGTGCAAAGGGTTAACATTCAGTTTTCGTATTGCTAAATCAATTTCTTTAATAATTCCTCAGAGAAACATTTGTTATCGTATGAATAATTGCAAAAAGAAGACATCAGGAATGGATCATTTTCAACTGTCTGGTAGTTTTAGTGTTACCACTGGAACTATAGTATCAGTAAAAATAACTGGTTTAGGTATTTTTATTTCAAAATGATTGGTGTCTTTCAAATCAACAATCGAGCGTCAATTAGGTACAGAACAAACATTTCGATTGAAATTGCAAACTGCAATATGACCAATCACGATTAAGATGAAATGAAAGGAATTAATCAAAATCCTTCAATCAACGGTCATATTTGTCCAATCGATCATCCCCTATCTCCGGTCAATCATATCTCTTCACTCGAGAAGGCCCGGTTATAATTATCTCACCAAATTCATCACTTAACGCTGTCCCACGTGATACTTCTTACGTAACAGGACATTATCGTCGCATCTTTCTCGCGAGCGATTCGCTCGATGAAAAGTTTCGTTTATCCACTGGGATCTTATAAGAAAATGCGGACGGAAGCTCTCCGAGTAAAATGTTCAGCTGATCGTTGTACCGTGGCGGTTTATCCCAGCCGGGATCGACAGCGAAGCCTTCAAAGAATCCCGTGGTTCTTGTACGTACTTACACAGTATCATTTAAAACGCTACTCGACCGTCTCACGCTTACTGAAATACTTTCCTCGCCCCCTCCCCACCCCCTCGATCAAACCCCTTTCTTATCCCGACACGATTTTTCTACGTAGATGTAATAAATTTCCTCGGCACAACGGTTGCTCAAATCGCTTCCCCATCGGCATTGTGCGGCAATAAAACTTTCTCGAGCGTAACGGCTCGCTAATATAACGAGCATCCTTATTTGCTTGTTTCTGCGGCGTTCGACGCCTTCCACGAGGTGTTTATGTGTTTATTTATCGCTTATTTATTGCTTATACTCTATCCGACGCGTTTTTTCCTCTCGGGCTACCGTGCTAGGCGGTGCCGATTTATTTGAATCGTGCCATCGCATCGCGAGAGACTTGTCTCGTTTGTGGAGGGATTCGTTCAGGGAGGGTAGACTTTTCTATGATGTCCATGGGCTCTATAGTTTACGTTGTTTTAAGAGTCGTTACATTGGTTTTTGATAGATAAATTGTGTTTTAAATATGTGTACAGTAGGATTTTTAGTTTTTCTTAGGATCAACCCTTTTGTTTTGATTGACTTTCGAAGTGATCAAAAGTTAGCAGAGTAAATAAATTAACTAATATCAATGAAATCTATAAAATTAAGCAATTGATAAAATAGCCTAAACGGCTGAGCAATTTTTGTATTTAATACAAACGCAAATTCAGGGTACCGAAACATCTCAAATATTTACAATGCTATGAAAACTCTAGTTAGAACAAGATTACACAGTGCCAAGTATCATTTCTAACGAAATCGCATGTTTTTCAACATGTAATCAATATAGGTCATCAGTCCTTACAAGAAAGTATTAAACTGCTTATAACAGAAACCTTTTAGTCCAACAATTTTTTTCATTCTACATGATTAGTACAATATATATTTTTCTCTCGTAAAATACGGCGATTCAGTTTGATGGGAAAAACCTGGGGCACCTTGTATATCAACAAACTTTTACCAAGTCTCTGTAGCCTGATCCATTTCACAATATACTTTTTTTGTAGTTCCCTAAGGGCTCTTAGTTGCATAGTTATTCCATTGGCGAAAGTTACACGTCATTGTCAGTCAGCGGCGTAATGACAGAGCGGCGCGACGCCCGGCGTCACCGCGTCAAATCGGAATTGTCGTTACTAACTGGTCCGGGACTTTCGCGCATTAGCCGCGTTTTCTATTCGCGGGAAACTTGGCGCCCATTATTTCTCGCCGCAATCTTCCTTTGGAACATATTATATTACAATTTTGCACGGCGGCGTAGACGTGACTGTTTTGTTCAAAATAATTGGCTTATAGAAATCTAAAACACCATTCTTCGATCTTTAATTAATACATATTTTGTAACACTGATATTACCAAATACCTTTGGTAATAGTAACGAGAACTCTCCATATTTGTCTTCGAAATTAAAGCAATTATACGTACTAAAATTCATTAACACTAGGTTTACACACATTGAATTTTATAGTATTTCTAAACTTCTAAATTCCAAAATCTAAATAAACATTAATTTTTCTAGGAACAATACCAATGTAAACCCAGTGTTACTCAATAAGCATATTATTTCCTAATCAAAGCAAACAAAAATTATTTCCACCCAAG